AGAGAGAGAGAGAGAGAGAGAGAGAGAGAGAGAGAGAGAGAGAGAGAGAGAGAGAGAGCTGGGGAATAGCAGGTGTGCTAGCTAAGTGTTAGCATGAAGACGTGAGGCATAAAAGGAGAGTTGAACTGCGGCATGAAGTAAAACAGGGTGCTAGTCCCCGTCAACCACTTGTGCTAGTTTGACTATGAGAATAAGGCAGTCAACAAGTAGTCATCCCCTCGTCATCTCTCTCTCTCTCTCTTTCTCTCTCTTCAATTTCTCTCTCTCTGTCTCCCTTACTCGGTGGTGTGATACAGGATTGCACCTTGATCAGGACTCGGCCCACCATCACCATGCCATCCATCTCCATCCCATCCCACGAGTGTCTATCGTGCTTGATTTACACACGAGGAGAATCTACACCCGTGCATATGCCTTGCCGCCACTGCGGGTTCAAAATCGAAACAGATTTGCCTCGTTTGTATGCACATAATGATGTCGTCTCTGCAATTTAGTGCTGTCGTAGATCAGTGGGCTCCCCAAATTGACCTCCCCCAAGTTGACTCCTTCAGTGCTACAGCTCGACGGACATGGCATGAATGGCTAGACTCACTTCCAAAGGCTCAGTGACAAACTTACGCAGCATCCAGAATCCACTTCGTTCATGGTCACCCATGGCATGTCTGTATGTTCATTGCACATGACGCCCAATCCCATCATCTAGCGGATATAAATTAGAGCATCCCATGCTCCTGGCTCTAGTGCCACCTTCCGCTTGCACAATAAACAAAAGTCTGTCTGTCAATGCCGACAACCAATGTGTGGTCCGAAGTGAAGGAATCAACGGCAACACAGCTGTCAATTGTCTGGGCACTTGATGTGCACAAGGGGCATGGGTGTGGGTATTACAACTGTGCTAGACTATTGGGTACCAGGTTTGTTCGGGGGGCATGTTCCTGATGATCCAGCATAAGTGAGATCCAGCCCATTGCCTATAACTGTGCAACACACAAGGAGTGCGTCCCCATGCCATAGTTGTATGCACGCATGTGCGTACTGAGGGTCCCAAGGGGTCTACACATATCCATGCAAGAGTTTGCTGGGCACCAACCAAGGGAAGCAGGGTTTGCCAAATATTGACGAATCACTTCATGCATCTATCGCTGATGGGTGGCAGGGACGGATTTCGTTTAGTATTTTCGCTGAGTGCATACACCGAAGGAATTCAAACCCTCATGGATCCTACAGAATTGCAGCCTCTTTTGCCTTCCCTTCTGTGGCCGCACAGACACACAGACACACACATATGGGCAGCTGCCGCTTGACCACAATCAACGTAGGCAGCCTTGTACGTGCGAGGCATGGTAAAAGAGGAGCTGTTGCCCCAAAGAGACCCCAGCTAAACACAGTTCTAAATGGTTCTATTATGATTCATGTTGCCTGCTAAAGATGTGAAATTCTTTAATTGTTGGCTCAACTCGAATCTACTCGTCTGGGTGGAATAGGGGCTGTTGTGGTGGAAATTTAAAACACACACACACACACACACACACACACACACACACACACACACACACACAGAGAGAGAGAGAGAGAGAGA